TTTTTTTCCGGTACCAGGAATCGAACTCACAACCTTGCACTTGCCAGGCAGGCTCTGTGTTGCTGAGCTAAATCCCCAGCCCCACCTCACATACTTTCTTTTGGTCTTTTTGAGAGGGTTTTATATGCAGTTCAGGCTGGCCTCACTTTGTATCTCAGGCTAGCGGCAAACTCACAGTGATCCTCCTGCCGTAGTCCCCAGAGTGCTAGGATTACAGACGTGAGCCACCACGCCCAACTTTTTTAAAGTTTTTTTTTTTTTTTTTTTGTCTCAGTGAGGTCTTTTAAAAATATATGTCATTATGGATTTTATTTATTAGGGTTTTTTTGAGGCAAGGTCTCGCTATATAGTTCAGGTTGGCCTCAAACTTACAGTGATCCTCCTGCCTCAGCCTCCTGAGTGCTGTGATTACAGGTGTACACCGTGATGCCCAGCTTTCATTATAGATTTTATTTATGTATTCTTTTATTGTTGTTGTTTTTGAGTATCGGGAATCGAACTCAGGACCTCACTCTACTCCGACCCGGCAGCGCTGTACCACTGAGCTATATCCCCAGCTCCTCATTATAGATTTTAATTTTAAAAATATTTTGCGTTTCCATCACCCCAACCTTCTCTCTCCACCACTGTCTCTGCTCTTTTTGACACTTTCTAGGTCAGAACAACCCAGTCCTAGATGGGGGCCCGCATCGGTGGCTGCAGTGGACATGGTTGGGCCGTGCTGAGCTGCAGTTTGGAGACCAGACCCTGCATGTGTCCACTGTGCAGATGTGGCTGCTGCTGAATTTCAATCAGACAGAGGTGCTCAGCTCCTTGCCTCGCTAGATCTCTCTCGCCTGTCTCTCTGTTCTCCTAAGCTCTGTTCCTCTTCCCTCCTCTCCTCTCAGTTGCACTGAGGCCTCCTGGGTCCCTCTTCCCCCACCAGGAGGTGTCAGTAGAGACCTTGCTGAAGAGTTCCGACCTCTCCCCAGAGCTGCTGCACCAGGCGCTTGGGCCCCTCACCTCTGAGAGTGGCCTTTTGTCCCTGCAAGAGAGTCAAGACTTGCCACCTGGGGGTAGGTTATTGCCAGTATGGCTGGCCAGCTCTCTGCTGTGGGCCAGGATCCTCAAGGTAGGGGTAGGGTGCAAGGGATGAGAGTCTAGAGGGTCCTCTTGGTCCTTACTCACTGTCCCTCTGGGACCGGGTTCCAGGTGTACTGCGGCTTCGTGAGCCCGGGTGCTGCCGCAGCAGGGAGGGGCTGTGGCTGATACCTCCCCAGACTTACCTGAATGTGGAGAAGGATGAGGGCCGCACACTGGAACAGAAGCGAAATCTCCTGAGCTGTCTTCTTGTCCGTATTCTCAAAGCGCATGGGGCAAAGGGCCTGCACATTGATCATCTGGTTTGTCTGGTAGGCAGAGAGGGGATCATGCTGTCAGTGGAGAGGGGGAGTCCTGCTCGGGGTGGGGGCGGGGTGCAGCCAGAGGGGAAGTCAGATCTTAAGAGACCTCCGTCATCCTTTGCTGTTCCTGAGAAGGCAGTTGCAAGGGAGAGATAAGCCAGGAATGTTTATCAGGTGCATGATCAGGCCCTTTAGTCCTCACAATAATCCTATCAGATAATTAATACTCTTTTATCCCATGTGACAGATAAGAAAAGGGAGTCATGAGAAAGTTCGTAACTCACTACAGAGGCAGTAGATGGCAGACCTGGGCATGGGTCACAGGCAGGCTGCTCTCCTGGTAGCCTGGCTTCTTTTCTCCCCGTCCAGGTGTTGGAGGCCTGGCAGAGAGGTCCCCATCCTCCAGGAAGCCTGGGCCATGCTGTCCCTGGGAGTACAGACGTCCTCTCTTGTGTCCTGCACCTCCTGGGCCAGGGCTATGTGAAGCGACAGGATAACCAGCCCCAGATCCTGGTGTATGCCACCCCTGAGCCCGTGGTACCCTGCCAAGGTCAGGCAGACATCCCCTTCTGTGGCAGCCAGAGCAGTGAGATCTCCAAACCTAGGTAGCCACCCTTCCTGTCCCTTGCTGCAAGGTGGGCAGGATTGGAGGGCTAGAGCCAGGCTGTCTGATAGGAACATTCTTTCTTTCTTTGTCTAGTCCCGTTATCCCTGTCCCTGTATTTCTCCTACTTTGCTAGTCTTCCGTCCACTACCCCAGCCCACCACTGCCCGCTTCCTTCCAATCAGGAGCCTTGCTGACCCCACGTTCTTAGAGGCAACTGGTAGGCAAGGGGCCCAGACACTAAGGCTCCTTTACGGATGTCTCTCATTCTAAGCGGATAGGAAGTACTCATATGTGATATGTATGGAATGCTAACTTTGCACTCTACCAGGTAAAACACAGAAACTTTCAGGAAGGTTATTCTAAGTGGAGTTCACCATAGACTTTCCCTAGTTAGCCAGTGCCCCAGGAGCTTCCAACTGCAGATCCACTCTACCAGAGCTTCTCTGATCTGCTGTTGGCCGAGTACACGAGTGAGTTCTCTAGGGTTATGCAGCCTCAGCATGCATACATATCTCTGGGGTGGAGTAGGGCAGGTCCGGGGCAGCCCCCGGTGTGATAGCTGTCCTGGTCCCTGGGCTGCACTGTGCAGAGAGACTGTCAGCACTGGCCTACCCCATAGGTAGCCCAGCATCCTGCCTCGTGTCCTCTAGACCCCTCAACACCCTGGTCAGCACCCCTGTGGCAGGCTCTGCCCTGCCATTGTTGGGATGGTTGTCCAAAGGCTGCTGAGGAACCCATGAAAGAGGATGTCCAGGTGGGGCTTGGTTAGGAGGTCTCCTGAGCAGGGCAGGGGTCCTGACCACTGTCTTTTTTCCCTCCCCAAGCCCAGTAGCCGTGGCCGCCCTGGCGTCTCTCCAGCTGCCTGCAGGCCGCACCATGAGCCCGCAGGAGGTGGAAGGGCTGATGAAGCAGACGGTGCGGCAGGTGCAGGAGACACTGAACTTAGAGCAGGACGTGGCTCAGCACCTTTTGGCTCATTGCCACTGGGGTGCTGAGCAGCTGCTGCAGAGCTACAGTGATGACCCTGAGCCGCTGCTGCTGGCAGCCGGGCTGCGTGTGCCCCAGTCCCAGGTGGCCTCTGCACCTATAGACCTCTGCCCCGTCTGTGTTGGTCCCCTGGGGCCTGGTGATGACCTGCCTTCCCTCTGCTGCCTACACTCCTGTTGCAAGGTGAGGCCCAGCCTCCTGCCCTGCCTCTTCTCTCTAGTCATTTCCTGGGAACTCCTGGGTCAAACCAAGCACCACCACTTCCTAACCTGGACAATGTTTAGTTGCTTTTATTTTGTTTCCTTGCTAGGGAATGATCACCAAAAATTCATGAATACTAAGCACATGATCTACCACTGGGATACACCCCCAGCCCCCAACACAGCTCCTAAGCCCCTTGAACTAGTTTTGTCATCTGTAAGTGGTGTCACCTGTCTTATCTCTCTTGGGTGGGTGACAGGACCCAGTGGTGGCCATGGGTCCTCCACTGCACTTTATAATCATGGCAGCTTCTGAAGGTCCTGATGCGCAGCCTGTGCCCTAAACCAATGAAATCACTATTACTGGAGGTAAAACCTAGGGGTCGGGAGTTTTAAAACCTTAGTGATTCCTGTTGTCAACTGAGGTTGAGAACAGAATGAGGAATGGATGGCAAAGACTGATCGCAGTGAGTCACTGCTATAGCTCAGAACAGCATCTCCTCTTTATCCTGTGCTCCCGTATAATGCACAAGCAGAAGGATCTGGTATAGCCCAGAAAATAGCAGCCAGCTGGGGGTAGCAGGAAGGTCCTGCTTCAGGAGAGAGGCACGGAGTGTCGGGAGAGGGTACACTGTGGGCACAGGGTTCCCAGCCTGCTGTCCACCTGCAGCCCTGCAGAACGCAGCGTACCTGGGCAGTACCAGCAGGAGCCTCTTCCATCCTCCCATTCTAGCTGCTGTCCCAGCAGCGCCTCCCTGTGGTGGGTGGCGGGAGCGGTGGCATCTGCATAGCGTGTCCTTGCTCTCCCCTTTGTTTTGCTCTGCCTCTAGCTCTTCATCTAAGGCTTAGGCTGCCTTTTTCCTGGGCTCTTATTTCCTTTACACTTGCATTTTTCTCACTCAACTAATACTTTTGTGGACCTGCTGTGTGACCAGGCCAGCTGCTGTGAGAGTGGAAGAATCGGGCAGGAAATGGTGTGCGAGCTGCTGGCATGGCTGCAGCTCCCAGGGGCCAGGCACCACTGCTCTGTGCCAAGTTGTGTTACTTTGGAACAGTGTCACAGCATCGGTGTTTGTTTTCCCCATTGTACAGAGGACAGGTGGAGATACTAAGAGGTCAAGTAATTTGTCCAAAGTCAGGGTTTGGGTTTTAGCAGTTACAGCCAGGGCCCACCCTGCACACAGCGGTGACAAAGAAGGGAAGGGGACATGCAAGGATGACCCGCAGGAGGTGACAGACCAGTGTGGAAGTGCGGACAGGGAGTGGTCGGGGTGACTGTAGGAGAGAGGGACAGGGAACAGCTGAGCCTGTGGCTGAAGTGTAGCATGTGGCAGGACAGGAAACTCAGGAGGTGATGACTGGTGGGAGTGGGATGCTGGTCAGAGATAGGAATCCATGGTGGGATTAAAAGGGGAAGATTACTGTGGGGAGCAGACTTGGGGGAAGAGAGGTGTATCAGGGAGGCTGGCCAGGAATTGTCGAGGAGAGGCAGGAGGTGGTATCTGGACCAGCAGCAGGGATAACAAGAGAGGGACAGTTAGGGATGCGTGGGGAGTGGAGGTGCTGATGCTAGCGCTTCAGGTGTGAGGCCTCCTGCGTTTCTGCCCAGAGCATCTGGGTGGACAGAATGTGTCATTCTTACTAAGGTGAGAGTTGTGGCTCGAGTGGGGGTGGAGGCAGGTTCTTGAGGAGAACCCAACCCATTGTGGTCATGTGAAGTTTGGGCACTGGGACAGGTTGGTGGCCAGTGGGTTTTGAGTTTGGGTTGAAGTACAGAGGCCCCGCTGGAATCACCCAGGAAGAAAGGGCAGTCCAGGTGCTCAGCCACTCTGTGGTGACTTGCAGATGGGAAGCCAGCCATGTGACTGAGAAATTCTCAGCAGGGGGATCCTGCAAAGTGGTCACAGCTGATTGGCACAAAGGGCAGCCCCAGAGATGTCAGAGGAGGGAAGCAGGAGGAGGCCGCCAGCATGAGTCTTGCTACAGGCAAGGCGGCAGAGGCAGGAAACAGCACTGTGTCCCCTAAGTTTCGTTACAGTGCTGGTGATTGAACCCAGGGCCTTGCATGTGCTAGGCAAGTACTCTACCGTTGAGCTACACTTACAGTAACCTTAGCAAAAAAATGCAAGAATTTTGCAATTGATGCCCCAATTTGTCTGGGCATGTTTCAGTGTGGAATGGGTTTGGTTTGGTCCTTTTCTTGGAGTAAAAATGGTCTGGTTAGACATGTCACACTTACCCTGTATCCTTGATGCCACCCACACCGACGCCTTCAGGCTTCAGCCCTGTCATTTTAGAGATCTTGTGGTAGAGACAGGCATGTGGGCGGCAAGGGCTACTGGTGGAGTGTTCCGGGGGTTCACCTTACTGAGCATTCAAGAGACGGGGAGGCCTTTGATTGGGTGCTCTTACCATGGGCCGGAAGTGGGCATAACGGCAGGATTTACTGTGGAGTGGGGATGGGGGAGCCAGAGAAGAGTTTGAGAGATGTGACAGGGGGGATGGAGGTGCCGTTAGTCTGGGCTCAGGACACTGTGGGCAAGTCTGTGTGGGGCGGAGGCTGTTTGTTTTAGCCTGAGGATAGTGTGGGGTGGCTGAGCTTGGGGGAGAACAGAATGGTGCTACAGCTGGGAGGCCAGCACCCAGTGGGGGCAGCCACCTCTTCCTGGGGCTTTCTCACTGGCCTTGCTGCTTTTTCCATGTCTTTTCTAGAATGTTGGTCCTTCTCCTTTCTTCTGTTCTCCTACTCATTCCCTATGTGTCCCCTGGTAGTGATAACTAGGCTAACGCCTGAGCCACAGCCTCCGAGACAACTGTGATCTGAGCCAATCCAGAAAAACCCTTGGCAGCCAGAGGAACTGGGGTCAGTTAAGAGGTGCATCCAGGAGCAGGTGGCCCTGGGCTTCCACGTGGCCAGGGATTGGCGGCCACCTCTCTAAGCAGCCCCACTTTTCATCTTCCCAGTCTTGCTGGAATGAGTATCTGACCACCCGGATCGAGCAGAATCTTGTGCTGAACTGCACCTGCCCCATCACCGACTGCCCGGCACAGCCCACTGGAGCCTTCATCCGTGCTATTGTCTCCTCACCAGAGGTCATCTCCAAGGTATCCCCTCACATCTGAGGGAGGCTCCAAGGGGCCTGGAGATGCGACAGCCCGAGAGCTATGCCCTCACTTTGTGTCCCCTGTGGCCCTGCAGTACGAGAAAGCCCTCCTGCGCAGCTATGTGGAGAGCTGCTCCAACCTGACCTGGTGCACAAACCCCCAAGGCTGCGACCGCATCCTGTGCCGTCAGGGCCTGAGCTGCGGCACTGCCTGTTCCAAGTGCGGCTGGGCCTCCTGCTTCAACTGTAGTTTCCCTGAGGTGCTGCCCAAACCCCGGGCAAGGCTTCTCCTTCCCTACCCAGCCCTTCCCTGCCCCCCACCACAAAACTGATGTGTCCTTCCTACCCCTTCGCCTCCCTGCTGGGCTGTCCTCCCACCCATGGTCCTGCAGATAGGCCTGTCTTCTCCCGTCTCCCCATGCATGCCTGCAGGACCACCTGTTAGGGCTCAGCCATGTCCTCACTACCCTCTTCCGCACTAGGCACACTATCCCGCCAGCTGTGGTCACATGTCCCAGTGGGTGGATGACGGCGGCTACTACGATGGCATGAGTGTGGAGGCCCAGAGCAAGCACCTGGCCAAGCTCATCTCCAAACGCTGCCCCAGCTGCCAGGCTCCCATCGAGAAGAATGAGGGGTGCCTGCAGTAAGGAGGGGGCAGTGTGGGTCCTGGAGGACTCAGGGGCAAGAGGGAGGTGGGGAGGCTGGCGGTGAGCAGTGAGGCTGACGGTAAAGCACAGCGCACCCCCACAGGGACTTCCTGGATGTTATTTTTTCCTGCACTGGGAAATGAACCTGAACCTTTGTACTGAGCTACACCCTTACCCTTTGAAATTTTTTAAATTTTGAGACAGGGTCTTGCTAAGTCACTAAGTTGGCTGGCTAGGCTTGGATTTGTGATCCTCATGCTTTAACCCTCCCTAAAATGCTGAGATTATACTAAGTATGTGCCACCATTCCTGGCTGGAAATTAATTAACATTCCTTTCCCTGCTTTTAAGTCTACCCTGTGTGGAGAAATTAAAAAAGAAGGCTCATTCAGCAGGACCTGGGGAGATGGAGACTAGAGGGCTGGGGAGAGGCCGTGGCCTGGGCAGCGTCAGAGGTGTGTCCAGGCCCAGCCTTGGCTCAACCCTGCCCAGAGACAGGCGCCCTCTGACTAGCTAGCTTTCTCCACAGCATGACCTGTGCCAAGTGTAACCATGGCTTCTGCTGGCGGTGCCTCAAGTCCTGGAAGCCCAATCACAAAGACTACTACAACTGCTCTGCCATGGTAAGGCTGGGCAGCGGGAGCAGTCAGGTGACAGTGGCTGGGGGAGAGGCTCAGCTAAGGGAGGACAAGCCAGGCGGGCCTGCAGCTGCTGGGATGTGGTACTGAGGCCTGTTCCCAGGGCCTCCATTTTCAGAGCAGGGCTTCCCATCCCAGGGCCCATAGGGAAGGAGGGCCTCAGCAGGTACCAGGGCAGGCTAGAGCCAGGATTCACTGCCCAGCTCCCCCAAAGGATTAGTGGGAGGAGTGGGAGAGACTCCTGGGTACAGGGTGTGGGGTCCCATGCACAGTGGGGTTCCAGTGATGAACTGTATCTTGCATGAACAAGTGGCCAGCAGCCCTGTCCCCGTCTCACCAGGTAAGCAGGGCAGCTCGCCAGGAGAAGCGCTTTCAGGACTACAACGCGAGGTGCACCTTCCACCACCAGGCGCGGGTGAGCGGGGAGGAGGGGGAGGAGGGGGGGCAGGAGGTCCAGGCTAGGGGGCAAGTTGAATCACACAGGTGCCAACCATTTTCCTCCCACAGGAGTTTGCTGTGAACTTGCGGAACCGGGTCTCGGCCATCCATGAGGTGCCTCCACCCAAGTCCTTCACCTTCCTCAGTGATGCGTGCCAGGGCCTGGAGCAGGCGCGGAAGGTGGCTGTGGTAGGGACTGGGAGGGCTTGGTGGGGTCAGCTGCCCCGCTGGGACATGTCTGGTGGTAGGACAGCCAGGAAGGCACCGCCTAAGTGCCCGACTCCCTAGGTGCTGGCCTATGCCTGCGTGTACAGCTTCTACAGCCAGGACACCGAGTACATGGACGTGGTGGAGCAGCAGACTGAGAGCCTGGAGCTGCACACCAATGCCCTGCAGATCCTCCTCGGTGAGCTGGCTCCCTTGCCAGGTCCCACGGCCATCAGGGTGGGAAGTCCTGGCCTGCACACTGTCACTGGCACACACCTGTGTGAATGATGTGTAGAGCTGGGGTGACTCTTGGGAGCTGCTCCATCGGTGTTTGTGGAAGGAAGGATGGGGAGTGGGGACAAGGGAGCGGGCCCTGTGCCTCACTCTGCAGAGGAGACGCTCCTGCGCTGCGGTGACCTGGCCTGCGCCCTGCGCCTCCTGCGGGCAGACTGCCTGAGCACAGGCTTGGAGCTGCTGCGGCGCATCCAGGAGCGGCTGCTGGCCATCCTGCAACATTCCACCCAGGTACCTGCCGCCAGGCCCTCAGCAACCTCCCCGGCGAGTCCAGAGGGAAGGTGGGAGAGCAGTGGGTGTCTAGATGTCAGGGGGCAGAGCCCTGTGTTCCTCCCAGGCTGGGTGCCTGTCAAACTACGCTTCCCCAGCTGTGGATGCAAATCCCAGGCAGGGGGTCAAGGGGTGAGGGTCACTGCAGTGAGACCCGCCAAGGTTCCTTCCACTCCGTACCTAGTCTTACGCCTGCCCTGAACCCTATCCTTAGGCTGCCTCCTGGCTGGTCAGTAACCCGGGCATAGCACAAGCTCCTGGAGTACAGTGTGGGTGCCCTTGGGTGCCCTACCCTTTCGCACCCTCAGTGAGCGAAAGGCACAAAGGCAGTAGTCTGAGGGCCATGGTGACAGGAGGGGCTCCTGGCAGGACTGGCCCTTAGGCTCAAGCTGCTGTTCTCTGCTCTGCTGCTCCTGCCAGGACTTCCGAGTTGGTCTCCAGAGTCCCTTGGTAGTGGCCGAGGAGGCAAAGGGACCCAACCTGCCTGGCCATCAGTGAGTACAGGCCAAGCCCTGGGGGATGGCAACAGGGGATATGGCGTCCCTGGGCTCATGCGGGTGGTCGTCCCTAGGCCCCAGCGCTCCTCAGCACAGCAGGGAGAGGACGAGGACGATGAGGAGGACTATGTGCCTGAGTGGCACCAGGACGAGTTTGAGGAAGAACTGGACAATGACAGCTTCTCCTACGATGAGGAGTCTGAGAACCTGGACCGGGAGACTTTCTTCTTTGGTGACGAGGAGGATGAGGATGAGACCTCCGACTGAGGGCAGACACAGGGAACGCCTGGAGCTCCACAGCACAGGACTGTGGGCTGGGTCCTCTTAGCTACCGGGCTCCCCGCACCACAGCTCCTTTGTTTATGGAATAAACTGCTTTTTTCACATACTTCTGTGGAGCAGCTGGACAGCTCCCCAGCCACTCCCACAGCCACACCCTCCTGCTTTCTTGTTTCCGTTTTTTTTTTTTTTCTTTTTTACCAGACCCTTCACACTGAGCTATATCCCCAAGCCTTTTTAAAAATTTTGAGACAGGGTCTCGCTAAGTCACTGAGTTGCCCAGGCTTGGGCTCAAGTTTATGATCCTCCTGCATGAGTCTCCCAGAGTGCTGACAGGACAGGTATATGCCACCACCCCGACACACCTCTCTGTCCCTAGAGAAGGCCCAATGGAGCTGACACAGGGAAGGTTTGAATATGGCTAGGGTTGGTGCGGGCCTGGCTGAGTTTCAGAGGAGACCAGCCTTCCTGCAAATCCTGAAGTGTTTTGCAGCTGCCCTTAGACTTTTGGAGGGTCTCCCTACACCTTAAAGTGAAGTGGGAAGCTGGATGTGGTGGGTCATACCTGTAATCAGCTATTTGGGAGGCTGAGGCGGGAGGATTGGGAGTTTGAGGCCAGTCCAGGCAATTTAGCAGGAACCATTCTCAGAAAAAGTACGGTGGGAAAAGGAGATTACTGAGGACCTGCCCCACCCATCCTGGTACAGACACGAATTTTAAATGAACCATTTAATTCACTTCTGAGGCTGAGAGGCAGGGGTGCGAAGGATTTGAGGCAGCAGTTTTTCAGGCTCCTGATCACTAGCTGCAGCCCCCCTGCTTGGAGTCAGCAGCCTCGAAGTATCGGTCCAGCAGCGCCTCCAGCTGCCCCTCCTCATAGTCCCACACCTGGAACCGGGAGCCATCCGCGGCTCCCCGGATCATGGCAGAAAGCACTGCAGAGGGCAGACAGTGACAGCGATGTGAGGCTGCCTCACTCCCACCCTTGCTCCCACCGTGGGCCCTGGGGACCACGGAAGGCAGTGTGCTCACCTCGGCCAGACAGTGGGCGGAAGAGGCACAGCACTGGCTTGTTGAGGGCCACCGCCCGGCCCAGCTCATAGCCAACCCCCAGGGAAGGCTGTGTCACTTCGGCCACCACCGCTGGGGAGAAAGGAAGCTGAGATGTAGTACCGGGACCTGGGACAGGCAGGGAAAGGGGACCAAGGGTGGCCCTGGTGACACCATAGGATGCCCAGGGCTTGTCCAAGGACCTACGGCCCCCAGGGTGCTTCAGGAGGAGCAAGTGTCACTCACTGTCTGCCTGCTGCAGCCAGGCCAAGTCCCGATCATGGATGAACTTGTCAGCCCCAGGCAGCTCCTCCCCTGCGATGGAAGAACAGCTGGTCAGGGAGCTCCCCACTGGGAACCCAAGACGTGCTGTGCCCCTGTCGCCCCAGGAGAGTCCATGGGGGTGAGCGTGGGGCAGCCACAGGTGGTGTGATCAGGGAAGCTGGGTGGGTCAACCCCCAGGACGAGGTAGGGGATGCTGTAGGCAGGGACAAACGCGCCTGCCCCAGACCCAGGCACGGGCAGGGTTAGGAACCGGTGTGTCAGTCCTTAATGAGTGATTAGAATGCTGGGGGCGGGGCTGAGATGGGTACTTGGTATGAAGTTCAGGCCGGCCTCCAACTTACGCCCGTCCTCAGCCTCCAGAGCGCCGGGACTCCAAGCTACAGAATGAATCTTAACGGAGCTCCCCAGAGGACCAGGAGGTACACCGAGAAAATAATGATACCTCAGCTGCAGGGGCCTCACTATACAAGCCCTTTCTAACCTCCTAGTCATTTTGTCTTATTAAAGGTGCCCAAGCCTAGTGACGTCTGCCTGGAATCCTAGCACTCTGCAGAAGTTTGGGGCCAGCCTGGGCAATTCAGCAACTTAGCGAGACCCCATCTCAAAATAAAAAATGAAACTGAAAATGGTTGGGGAGGTGGCTCGGTGAGAGGACGCTGGGTTCAGGCTCCAGTACAGTAAAACAAAAAATCTGGACGCCCTGCAGAGTGCACCGGGTACCTCGGCCTTGGGCAGGCGCAGTGAGGCGGCGGCCCGCCCGTCCCGGACCCCCCAGTTCGAGTCCCCCATCACCGTTCTCGGCCAGCCCGGCCGCCGCCACATGCTCGGTGAGCACCGTCCCGAAGCGCCGCAGCCGTGACACGATGCGCGCATACAGTGCCTGGTCCTGGCGGCCTCCGCGGATGCTGCCGCAGAAATACAGAGCCCGGCCCTGCGCGTCGCGTTGCTCCGATTCCCCGCGCGGCCCAGCAGCGGCCATGGCTGCCCGCACCGCGCGCTGGGCCCGCCCACCACGTGACCCGAGGGCGGGCCCTGCCGGACCACGCAGCCCGGCGTGGAAGTGCTGCTCTCGGATCCGGCGCTGTGGGAGGCTGGGGCGGGACGATCGCCAGTTCGAACTTATCCTGGGCAAGTTGGAGACTTGGCGGTACCTTGTTTCAAAATAAAGGGCTGGGATGTAACTCACTGTGAATGCCCTGGGTTCAGTCCCCACTAGGAAAACAAGACGCCGGACGTGGTGGCGCACGCCTGCAAATCCCAGCACTCGCGGGGAGGCTGATGCAGAACTATTACTGCAAGTTCGGGACCAGCCTGGGCTACAAAGTGAGCTCAAGGCCAGCCTGAACTGCATAGCGAGAACCTGTCTCAAAAAGACAAAAAATAAAATAAAATAAAATAAAAATAAACCAAAACCACACACACACACAAAACAAAAAACAAAAAACAAGACACTTCCCAACTCCAACTACCTGAGACCAAACCTGCGAATCTTCCTGGACCCCAAAGCCAGGGTCCACTGCTGTGGGTTCTCCCGAATATTTGCACAACCTGACGCCTGCCACCTCCCCTGCCACCGCATGTGCCCAGCCGGCACCCTTCCCCCTGCAACCTCTAGTCCGCATCCCACTCAGGCATGGTCAGACACAAGTGTGGGGTCACACACAAGGCAGATGTGTGTGTGTGTGTATATGTGTGTATACACTAAGGATCAAACCGTGGGCTTTGCACACGCTAAGCAAGCACTGTACCACTGAACTACATCCCCAGCCCCAATTTGTTGTTAAGACAAAGTCTTGCTAAATTGCCCAAGCTGGGCTCGAACTTGCACTCCTCCAGCCTCAGCTCCCTAGCTGGGATTACTGGCGTGCACCACCGCGACCAGCCCACGTAATATTTGTAAAGCGCTAAATACAAAAGGGAGACGAGTTTGAGATTGCTGTTGCCCTGCTCAGCCTGTGGAGAAACCTGAACACACACTTGTGCGCTGGCGCCCCCTACCGGCGCCCTCCGCACCGCACGCACCAGTCCCCCTGTTCACCTCTTCCCAAAGCTGGCCTGGGGAGGCCCACATAGGCACACGTGAGCACGCATGCGCACACGGACCATCTGTAGAATTTGCAGGAGACGCCAACTGACCTACTCCCCTGGTTTGACCTTGGTACCATACGGGTGAGTTCCTGGCATTTGTACAGAGGGCCTGTAAAGCAGCAAAGCCCCTCTGTGTGACACTAGAATGGCAGATCTACAGCACAAAATATTTGTCAAAGCCCGAGGAATGCGCAAGCCCACCTCGAGTCCCGGTGTAAGCAGCGGCTTGGGCTGACAATGGTGTGGCTCCATCCGTGGTGACAAGTGTGTGGCTCCGGTGGGGATGGTGTTGTGGAAGAGGCTGGGGAGTAGGGGACAGAGTCCGGGGAGGGGGGGCTCTCTGTAGCTTCTGCTCAGTATTGCCGGGAGTCTAAATCTGCTCCAAGAAAGAAAGCGCTACACAAATACAAGTCATCGTTCAGACAAAGCGTTTCTATTATGGAAAATACCAAGCTAGGTACTAGTGCGGTTGCAGAAATGGAAAGCGGACCCAGTGTAGTCGGGGCTGCAGCCCTGAGTGGGAACTCTCCGCAGCCCCGAAGGAAACTCTGGCGACAATGGGAATGATCTAGAAGTGGGTGGTAATGATGGTCATACAAATCCATAATTTATAAAAATTATTCAGTTGTGTCTCACAATTGTTAGATTTTATTGCTACACAAATTACACCTTAATCAACTTTTTTTTTCAAACTAATGGTTCATCTTTAACACTAGCAGGAGACCAAAATAGACGATGTCGGTGGATACAGTTTAAACATAACCAAGAAAGAATTGAACTATATGCATTGAGGAAAGGGATTTTTCTCACACGGCCTTTTCCTAGTTTGCAGTTTTTGATGAGTAGAAACTAATACCTTTTTTCCCAGTTCAATTTAGGATGAATATAATTTTATGATCACCAATGTGGGTGCTAAGGTGAAACATGAATTTGAAATGGATGATACCGCATTTACTGTTCAGTGGCGGCGTGGTTGCCCGGCTGTCCCTCTGGCCAGCGTCAGAACGGAACGAGAGCATCTCGCTGATGACCGGAGGGGACTCAGTGGCCGTGATGACCACGCTGACCAAGCGGAGGGCAGGCCCACTACACCACAAGGATGGGGGCTGGCGCTCCCCCCCTCTCCCACTTCATGGAGAAAATTAGTACTCATTCAAAAGATCCGGTAGTAAGCCAAACAGGTTTTTTAAAAAAGTCAGAATGGGGGCTGGGGATTTAGCTCAGCGGCAAAAGCGCCTGCCTGGCAAGCGCAAGGTCGTGAGTTCGGTTCCCGGTACCGGAGAAAAACCAAAAAGAAAAAAAGTCAGAATGAAGAATAAACCACTTTCTGTTCACACAGAGGAGGGATGCTCCTTCAGCCCCAAGTAAAGTGAATTCTGTGCTGAGTCCCTGCTCCTTCAGAGGGGGCCTGAAGGTCAGTTATTGCTAGCAAAGCCGGAGTGGCCCTTCTCCACCTCAAAGATGTGTCACGCCAACAGCTACTGGCTTGGCTCAAAGCTCTGAGGATGGAGATGTGGTGGGGGTAGGCTGGCCCCACCTGACCACTCTCCACTGGCTTTGGTCCTGGTGCCCTCACAGCCAGTTTGGGTCATCTTGCTGCCCCTTAGGGGCGCTGAGGTGCCGCACACCTGTGGGTTGAGCAGAGGCTGTTAGCTGGGCTCTGCTGGGAGGGACAGCCACCGGGCTTGCCAACCAAAACCCTACGGAGCAGGCGAAGAGCAGCTTTGGTAATAAGTGTCACCTGGTGGGAGAGGGGGACAAGCAAGCCAGTGCCAGGTCAGTCAGCTGGGCCGACATCTCTGAAATGGAGACAGTGACGTGGGCGGAGACATGGAAATGAGCCGCTCTAAGACCACAGTTGCTGCCACCACCCCTGTATCTACTGGGGCAGACACGGGGCAGTGGGAATGCAGAACCAGAGGGCCGGCGCGGGATGGCTCTCATCAGACAGGAAGACACCCAGATGCGCCCCTGATCCCTGGCCCACATGTCCTGTGCCCGGTGGGGAACTTTGGAGCACAGGAAGATTCCTGAGAAGGGCTGGCACGCGGAGACAGGCAAATGGACACTGTTCCGCAGACGGCTCAAGGATTCCGAGACGGCTCAAGGATTCCACCTCCTGACTCTGAGACACGGGTGAGAACGGGCTTGATTGCACTTTTCGTTCTTAGGAAACCGGGATTACCCTGCAGAGGTCCTCCAGGTTTGCAGAGAACACTGCACGTCAGTGGTTAGGTACAGGCAGCGTTGCAGGCCACCTCCGACCCTGAGGGAAGGAAAGTCCGGGAGCTGCCCCTGCACTGGTATCCCTGGGCCAAGTGGGCCAGGTCTGGCTCAAGTACTGGGCAGCAGGCAGAGGAGATCGGGCAACTGCCAGATGCCTAGGAAGGCTGTGCCTCCAGGAGAGCCGGACGCACCTTCCGACAGGGGAACTTCTTGGCACACGAGCAGACTGCAAAGGCTGGAGCCCAGGCCTCAGGCTCTGCTGTGCCTGACTCTCCTTGCTCCTACTTTAGGACCAGGCTGCCCGAGCGGAGCAAAGGTGGGGAGCCAGGCCTGGAGCGCCCCTGGGTGCAACTCCATAGCATCAAACTTGAGATAACAAAAGGATCTAAGAGAGTGGGGAAGGAAAGAGATTGCTGACCTATCAGACGTTGGCTTTGAAACAGTCTTGTTACACTGGGGAAACTGGAGGCCGAGCACACGCAGAGAGCCCAGCCAGGCTGTCTGTCTGTCCGTCTGGCTCTCCCGGGAGGCTCAGAGCTCTTTATCTATAAGTGGGGTGGTGCCGTTTGTGGCTGATCTTCTTCCTACAAGACAGGCAAGTGTTAGGATTCTTTAGGGAGTTCCGGAGGCACTGGGTACAGGAGATATGGCCACACTCTGTAGAGACAGTGAGACGTCCGTTCTGCACAATCTCTGAGTATCCATCCATGCAGATGGGACAGCTGACAATGTCGGAGGGCCTCAGTCCTGTAGCACCCTCGTCCCCGGCACTTCGGGGAGCATGTGTGGTGACATACGCATCCCTGTCCCTGGACAGCTCCGCGTGGTGCCCGTGCTGGTTCCTCATCATTTTCCTTGGCTGCCTTCTCTCTTCAACAACCATGACAGAGTCATCGTGAGTCAGGTCGATGACCACAGGCTCTAATGATTCCCACGTAAGGTCCACAGTTTCATCTCCAGCTATTTCCTCAAGTTCTACGGGTTCTGGATCCATGGTAACCTCGGGGGTGGAGCCTGCTTCCTGAGTTTGCTTCTGGGCTTGTCTAGAACTTACTGTTCCACCACAACTTTGTACTCATTGTGCTCTCTGGCTCCAACCTACAGAAAAGGAAGCGACCTATACCAAGGTTTGCGGCAAAGTCCCACGTTCTCAGCCTCTCATGCCTACTGGTTACTCGTCTTCCAGCTTACAAAGAATTCGGAGCCAGGCAGTTCTCCAGGATCTTCAAGTCCTGGCTACCATCACCAACCTGCTAGAACAAGGAAACACCTTCGTGAGCTGCTGAGGAGACCCGCTCCGGCAAGACTCCGCGGTCTCAAAGCCCTCAATAAACTTTTTTCTGGTACTGGGAATCAAA